TGATAAACCCAGCAGGTGTCCCACCCGGCGTCCTCCCCTCTTTCGAACGCATCCGCTCCCCCTCAACACCCCCCTCCCACACAACCCCCCCGTCCTACTGACCCAGGCTTACAGACACAGACTCAGTGCAGTACCAACAACATTAAAGAGCCAATATCATGGCAAACTGTTCTTTTTTTAATAAAGGAATTTTAAAACAGCATTCACCTCCCAGTCTATACATTGTGTCCAAAAAAGTCTTTTTTTTGATTTTGCCTTCTCCTGTAAAGTTACTAAAGATACATGTTTTTTTTTTTTGGACAGCAACAATATGGAAACTAAGCTGCAAAACTTTAATTTATTACTGTGATGTCACAACCATGTACCACATATTTATTTGGTACTTTTTCTAGAATCGACAAGTTTTTGCTCCCATTCAGAGACAGCTCCTGGCCAAAAAATGAGCTACTTTTAATTGGAACACTTAATTTAAGGTAACAATCTAAAAGTAGCACGCTCTGCATGATCTACAACAGAGCTGGTTTAAAGGAAGCCTGGCCACTTCCTATTTCTCCCGTTATATCAAAAACATGACTGCAAAATGCCAGAAGTGCCCTAAATGATTGGGGGTGAATGGAGCTAAACGGCTAAAAACGAAAAGTTAAAACAGTTTCTCACCACGTGACCAGGACCTTCCTTTAAGTTTAGAAGGATGTATTTCACTAAAAAAGCTAAGAAAAAGTACCTTTTTGTTTCCTTTATTTCTACAGCAAACAGGTTTTGGGCAGTAGAACCCTAGCATTACTGCTACTGAGCGCTGAATCATTGATGACTATGATTTTGCTCAAATTCTCCATATTATTAACCCATTCATGTTGGACTCTGGAGCTAAGGAGCACCCTCTAGTGTTTGACAAACCTGGGAGACGTTACTAAGCGTCATATTTCTTCAGTGATTCTCTGATCTACATAACCCAGACTCCTTTCAGCAGACTTGGAGTGGTGTGGTGACTAATAAGCAGTACTGTTTCTTGCACAAAGATGAATTAGCATTGCTAGGGGCACTTTTATTTTGACACTGAATAAAAATGGGCAGGAACTCAACAGGCAAGAAAGAAATGTCCTGGCCTTTGAGATTTGTAATGAGTACTTAGAAGCTCTTGGAAATGTGATCAACGTAAAAGTATTCAATTTTGATTGTGCTTCTAAAGTACAAATCATCCAAAAAAATACTTTAGTAGTGAAGTACAGTTACTTAAAGAGACACTTCAGCCAAAATGATTAAAGTTACCTTCACTACATCTGTAGTAAACATGGCTATTTGCCTTCTCCGGTGGTGCTGCAGAACCCTCTAGAGTGAGATTTTCCAGTTTAAAGACTAGGCAATCTCCCCTTCTGATGATGTATTTTGAAGGTGGGAACTATAACACTATAACTAAAACTATAACTGCTTTAGGGTGGGTTTGTTTAAAATGCTCTTTTTTCATTAATTAGTGAAAGCTGAAGGAAGGCAGAGAGCTACCTATTCTGGACATTTTTCAAATTAAAATGCAAATTTTAAAATTGTACATTAAAGATGCATTCATGATTGCATTTCTCATGTGAGAGGGCATTATTTGAGACATAATTCAAGTGCAAAATGTCTATTTGCATTAGCATTTCTGTGTATAATAGCTGGAAAAAAATTAATATGGAAAGCAAAGTGCTTTTGAAATTGCATTTTCATTGTCTTAATGGCCTGACAGTCTGACTCCTAAAACAGAATAACAATTGCTCATTTGCAATTGCATTTCCTACACTGTCGCACTTCAGCAGTGCCAAACTTAAAACTTATTTGCAACCCTGTTTGCAATTGCATTTTCACTGTCAACTGGGCAATCCGGTCAGTCAAGCCCTGGGGGTGGGATGTGAGGAGGAACCTTTTAAAGCAAAGCATGTTTTAAGAGGCAGTGACAAAAAGTCTAAACCTGGGCAGTTCTGGCACAGAGCTAGATGCTTGTATACAATACAGAGGTAGCAATAGCAAACTCTGCTAGTGACATTTTAACACTCGCCAACAAGGCCGAGGATAATTCTGTCAAAAGTGATTTCCTGTTGTTTTGTGCAGAAGCGATTCTTGACTGAACAGGAGAGCTTGTGGCTGTCACACACTCCAATGTTAGCGACATCGTGACTGACTTCAGGCAGAGGCTCGCTGGACTGTCGGAGGTCTTGGAGTGTGCCTTGCACATTTTTAGTGCTTTCTCTGCTCTAACACGCCCATTGCAAATAGTCAGGGGTTGTTGACAAATTGAACCCAGTTTTCCATCATCTTCCAAACCGTGTAATGGTAGTCAATGAGCTTGGTCAAGCTGGCCATGCTAGTAATGCTTGGTCATGTTGGTCGACCAGCTTTTTCAAGTTGGTCATGCTTTTAGGCCAGCTAAACCATCAACTTCAGAAGGAATTCAGAAGGTCTACCAGCTTAATCAACTTAACCAGCTTGAGTTGGTCAGGCTGTTTTTTCAGCAGGGTTATTGGCATATAGCTCAGTTTCTAGGCTTGCAGTAAGAACTGGGTGAGAATTGCCAATTGTTATATGAAGTATTAGCATAATGTATGCTGAGTATTGTATTTGTGAGAACACTGATGAATGTAAACATGAAAAAGATATAAATCTGTGATTTCTGTCAAACTGTTTAGGATGAAGGATACAATGCTGCACTACACAATATGAATAACACCACAAATATTAGATTTAAACTCTAGTTCTAGGCTGGAATGCCCTTTTTAAGTATTTTCCACCCCTGCTGATCCAGCACTTTACGCAGTACTGGATTGGTGCCATCTCTATTTAAGGCATCCCCAAATAGCCCCAAACCTGCAGCCCTACAATCTGTTCTCCTCTGTTTTCAGCTCGTGTCAGAGAATGAAAGTGGACTGAATGCTTTGCCTGAGGACCTGAGCGTGTGGATTCAGAGCCCGGCTAATGAGCAGCAAAGAATCATTCATATTTCATTCAAATGCTGATGCTTGTTTTGTTTTCTTCTATTCTGACCAATGCCTTTGGCCATATTTGTTCTAACCCATGACACAGTCTAATAAATCCTCTCTGTTTTCCACAGTGGCTTTATTATTCATGTTTTTAAGGTAGTTTATGTTGAAATCTCAGGACACCAGTGATATTTTGGGAAGAAAAATGCACAGATTTCCCCACTTACACTGTATGTAATTGATCAGCCAAGACTAAGTTTGTTTCTTTAGCTTTAGCACTGGAGCTACAAGGCTAATGTAGACAACTAGTAATTGAAGCTTATTAGCAATTAGCATGGTGCTAACTGCATGCCTAAATCAACACACGCTTGCCTCAAACCATGTAGAATCGTTTGGTAATCTTTTATGGACTTGATTATGTGGTTTCTGACACTGTATGACACACTGTTATATGTATAGATGAAATAAAGTAGATTAGCATAGCTAAAAACAGTAGAAACCTGGAGCCGTACTACAGAAATTCTATCTTTTTGTTTTAAACTAAGATCTGACAGATCACTGTAAGATTTTTCACAAATTCTTATTACAGAAGCAAATCTTTTCTTAATCTTTTCTGAATTTTATCTCATCTCACAGCATCTTATTTCAAGTTAGCAAATCTTAAACTACTTGATCGAGATAATCAACTGTCATGTCTGTTACCAAGCAACCAACAATATGTACACAGCTGAAACGTAAACCCATGATCAAAATAATGTTAAAATCTAAGTTAGTTACCAATGTAAAAAAGCTCAAAATAAAACTAAAGTTCAATTAACTGGATGTAAATAACATTGTAACAGCACCTCCCGCTGTTTATCAGGGCATCACTGCTCCTCAGTTTCAGTTTCAGTTTCCCAAACACTTTAGTCGCTGTGTGAGCTGCACTATGTCATTCCTTTTAATAAACAGCCACACTTTCAAATCTGTCTCCTCATTATTCAACACCAGTGCTGCAATAGTTTATTTGATGAGTTTTCATTAACATTAACACACAAAGGTAATATGAGGGGATGGAGGAGATCATGTCTGCAGTGTTGGTCTTTTAAAGCAATATAGATAAATGTAACGTCATGCTAGTAGTGAACTATGCCGTGTGTCACAGCAAATAGACAAAAACAGATGGTTAAAAGAGAAGTTAAGACATCGCTGGGGTTTATTTGAAGTTAGGACAGAATTTAGGAAATGTTGTCAGGTTAGGATGTTTCTGTGATACTGTTTTCTTGTCTGGAGTTTGGATTATATTATGAACTTATGTACTGTTGTTCTGTAATAGCTTCTGTCCTAAATTCAGTCCTAGCTGAAGTTGTCATGACGACTAAACAGATAAGATTTCAGAGTTAGGATGTGTCTGTAATATCGCTTAACTAAGCAAACTTAAGCAAGAACATTATGGGATAAAACAGTTTCTATATAAAAGTCAGTGTGAATTTGAAATCTTAACTCAGGATGAAACATGATAATATTGGTTGAATTTATTTTCTCACTCACGGTGCACAGTGATGTCAAAAAAAGATGTTTCAGACGTGGACAACAGTCATTACATTTTGGTTGAAGATAACAGGAAAACAAGAGTTTAGCCTTGAACATGCTAACAAGATAAAAAAAGATGATTTCGAGTTGAGCTTAAAGATCTTCTCATCTAGGAACAGCCAATACTTTCTACACAAACTGTTTTTCAAGGACTCAACAAACTGATCAGCGAAAAAACCACTTTTATCTGCACATTTACTCCAGTAAACAGACATGTTTATGTGGTCACTGTATGACATAATGTTATCTACAAACATGGACTAAGTACACCACATATCCAAAAACAGTGATACCATCCTGAAGTATGATTTTTGTCTGCACTTTTGTGCATATATAAAGAATCGCATCCACAAACTACCGCTTTTATAACAAGAACAGATTGAGGTCATCTTAGATACTCACCTGTACCTTTCTCTCTCTCTCTGCAGCTGAACGGGACTGAATGAAACTTTCCGAGGATGAAGAGAGAACACTTACCTGACTCACAGGCAAATGTCTTTGACGTTTCATCGCAGAAAATAATTGCCACTGCATGTTTTTTGGTCTCCCGAGGCATTCTGGTAATGTTCTTGATGTTGTGCAGCTCGGTTATCTACAGAAATAAAAGACAAAACTCATTACCCAAATGAATGAGGACGAAAGAAGGAACAAAAGGGAACGACAAAAGAAAGAAGATGCCAAAGTAATGCGTGTATTGTTATCTGCTGAAAAACAAAAACGCTCCACCAAATGAAATGACTGCCTGCTAGAAGAGAGAAACAAGAGCTCAGAGTAAATCGCCTACACGCCAAAGAAACATCCAAAACTCTAAACCACAGAATGTATGTTATACATGTACACTAACTGTGCTGTACTTGCCGAAAATGCCATATTTAACTTTTACATGCAACTGTAAGTTAAAGTAACAAGATTTTATACCACATATTATTGGACAGTTTCTGTTGATTGGTTTGTCTTTAAATGTTGACACAATGTAAGGTCAGCTGGCACTTTCAAATTACTTTCAAAGAAATAAATACAACTGAAATGGAGACAGTTTTGTTCACACAGAGGTAATAAAAACATTGAAAATTAAATCTATTTCCTACAATCTACCCCAACCTGACTTTACTTCAGTTTAAACAGCCTGTGTCGCGCCGGTCCTCACATGGGGCAACAGAATTTATTCATTTTTAATGATCCACTTCATGTTTTTAAAACAAACAGAAGTGTACACACTTTAAAAGGTTATGCCTTTAATAATATATAAAAAAAACAGAAACAGTCAGGTATAACATAAAAAGCCTAAAGGCTTATTTCCATTGTTTTCCCCACACAAATCATGTAAATCCACAGATTTATAGACAACAGTGTAATAAACCTTCATAACAAGCACTGTTAACACCTTTAAAAAAAGCTTAAATAAGCTACTTGGAGTTTTGGCTGGGACTCGGAGCAGCGGGAGAGCGGTCACTTTATGCGAGGGAGGGGAAAGCGAGTAGCTGACGTGTACATATTGCTAACTCTCATTGGTACTTAGGCAGGTCTGATGTCACCTGTGCCAAATTTGGTCCCACACAACTCAAATCGAACAGAAGTAAACAGCAGAAATATCATTTCAAAAATCTCTCAACAGAAAAGACCAACAGCATTCTTTCTCTGACAGTTTATAGTAAAAACACCACAAAAATATAGATAACAGTTAGAGGAAAATCATGAAATTGAGTAGACAGGAGCTTTAAAATTTTTAACATTGTTAATACGTACAATAAAATATAATTTAACCTTTTAAGTGTCGCCCTTTTCTCCCTAAAATGGCATGCCCAAAGTAAAAGGAGCACTGTTCCCACACACTTTGGGCTACAGTACTGATCTTTGTCTCATTTGAAAGGTAACACTCAAGTTTTTTCCCACCTGTCCGAATAACTGTATGAAATACTGAGACAGAGTAACAGACCAACTTTACGTAGGCATTTACTATAGTTTCTGACATCTAATTGGAGAAATTTTTGTCCATTCCTCCATGCAGAATTCTGTGCAATGTATGAGGGGTTTCATGCACGTACAGCCCATTTTAAATCCCCCACAGCATTTCTAGAGAATTTAGGTCTGGGGTTTGACTAGGCCATTCCACAACCCTCCATTTCTTCCTTTTGGGTCATTCTTTGGTGGATTTACTTGTATGTTTGGGATCATTATTTTGTTGAAAGGTCCACTTTTTCAGCTCCAACATTTTACAGATGGTCTAACATTCTCCTCAAGCACTCTCTGGTATGAAAGAGACTTCATAGTCAATTCTATGATTGCAAGTTGGCCAGGCCAAACAACTCTATCTTTGACCTGTCTGTTCTAGAAGTCCTGGTGCTTGCCAAGATTTGATTAGCAAACTTTAATCTTGCCCCGATGTTCTTTTAAGACAGCAAAGTCTTCCTCCTGGCACACCTGCCTTGTAGGTCAAGTTTTTTTCTAACGGTCAACGCATGCACGTTTACATCAACAGTGACAAGACCTACCTGCAGACCCTGTGATGACATTTTGGGGCTCTTTAAGAATTCTGTTAGCATCTTACAGTCTGCTTTGGAGTTTAAATTTGCTGGGGTGACCTGGCCTGGACATGTTGGCAGTGGTTTAAATCTCCACTTGTAGATGATCTTCCAGACAGTGGAATGATTGATTTCCAATATTTTGGTTATCTTCTTAAATGCTTCCCAGACTCACAGGCATCTACAATTTTCTTTCTGAAGGCCTCAGAAAGCTCTTTTGATCTAGGCATGATGATACCACACACTCCAATAACAAAGAACAAACTAGAGCAGATATCAGAGGTTTAAATATGTCACACAGCGGCTAAAGGAGTTCCTCCATGATCTTCTGTAATGTTTTAACAGTCATTACAAGTACACCCTCTATATATATATATATATATATATATATATATATATATATATATATATATATATATATATATATATAATTTGCTGTTGTCAGAACAAAACCTTATGTGCCATAAAACATTATGTGCCATAACCTTTGCACAGACTCAGTTAAACACAGCAAATTTACAGTAATTGTGCACTAAAATATGCAGAAGTGTGTTCTCTGTAGAGCATATGTTACCTTATTTTCACTTAGAAAATCAAACTTTTATACACAACTCTGTATCAAAATAATAAATTCTATTTGACCCAGCACAATCTGCTATGATGAGTTGATGATGAAACACTTTTTGGAAGATTTGCAACTGCGCAAATCTTTAACTGCTTGTAAGACAAAGGAAATGAGAGGGAAAATGTATTAGTCAAAACTTTTATTAACTTTTGATTCAAGCAAAACAAGCCTGTCAAAATAAAAGTCCTGAGATAACAAGCTGAAAGCAAAAAATGTAGGGCATTTATAAATGTGTCATAAATGTGGTCGACCCTAGCGATATCGCAACTGCTTTAATGAAGAAGGTTAACAGATGGAATATATGCAGTATGAAGGTTCGTCATTCATGATTCAACATGAACTACTTCCATAATAAACACTGTAACCTTCATGAAAATACACAGCAGCCTTGATACTGACAGCTACAACATAAAAGAGTAAGAAGCTTTCTTCGTATCCGGTGTCATGACTTCCTTCGGGACAGGAAGTGACAAAAAAATCTCCTTAACTCCTCTCAAAGCCACAAGTTTACGAACACTTCTTCGCTAGCTCTGCTAAAGGAACATTCTGACAGCAGGCATTGTACTCTCTCCCCTCAGAGCCTGCCGGTGGGGGATTTAGAGGCTGTGAGTGAGCGCCTGTTTCTATATTGGTTTCTCTCAGAAAGCAGCAGAGCTCTCAGTTCTTTTGGGGAAAACATCCGTTTCAGCTCTAATTCGCTGAAACTCTTCTTAATCAAGCGTTTAGGCAGCGGAGACTGAACGGCCGCAGGGTGTCTACCTCGTCCTCTTCCTCCTCTTTCCTGATGCTAAAAGTAGCAAAACTATTAATTTAACTATTTTTCCTGGTAACATGGTGCAAGCGTCAGAGAATGTCTTGTGAGGACAACTGACACTCAATAATGTCTCCCAGGTTGGTCAGACACTAGAGGATGCTCCAAAATAATGAGTCCAAAATAAATGGGTTCCTATGGAGCCTTTGTACAAAATTGTAGTCTATAAATAATTTCTATACTGAAAAATGCACTTTACTCAACACAGAACTGCTATAATACTTTTTTGACTTTTTGAACACAAGTTATGGGTCCTTTTAACAGTCTCATATGTACATTCATGACATCAGTGAGTATGAACCACTTTACTCAACCAATCAGCTAACCAACCAATCAGCACTACGTACAATTATGATGACCAATCAGCGGTCAATAACAGCAATGCCAACCAAGCAGCACTCAGTAGCAGCAATGGCAAATAATCAGCACTCAGTAGCAGTAATGCTAAACAATCAGCACTCAGTAGCAGCAATGCTAACCAATCAGCACTCAGTAGCAGCAATGCCAACCAATCAGCACTCAGTAGCAGTAACGCTAAACAATCAGCACTCAGTAGCAATAATACCAACCAATCAGCACTCAGTAGCAGTAATGATAACCAATCAGGAAGATATAAGCAAATACAAGTTTATACAATTTGTTTGGATCTAGTTGTGAGAACTGAATGACACTCAGTGTGAGGAAGCTAATTGTTCTCAGTCTCTTGTTTGGTCAGTGTAGCTGAGAAACTAAGACTAACTAGAAATTGGAAAACAGAGATATCAGGCTATCTAACCAGTTTATCTGATTAGTAAAGGCTACAAAATGCTCCTATACGTTGAAACAAATTAGTATCAAACACGGAAATAAAACGCTAAGTCATTGATACTGAACAAGATTAATGTTCCAAAGTTTTCTCACTCGCATTAGAGCACGAACCTGGCTAAAATAACTTTGGAACACTTTGCAAAACTAAGACTGTTAAAGATTTGCCTCTTGAATTTATTTCCATATCATTGTTGCTGACTAGCAGAGTTGAAATCCTGTCAGACTGCTCTGTCTCCACTTTCAAAAACTAAGTCTTGCCCTTGTTGGGTGATTCTTTGCAAAAAGATATGTATAAATGTGTAAAATGTTTTATTACAGATTGAAAACTGTAATAGTTTGATTAAAAAAACAAAATAACCATCTAAAATGTAATCCATGTCAAACATGGTTTTCTGTCAGAATTCACCTCATTTAACCTCATCCCACCTCATCTCACAGCCGTCCACAGCTTTTACAGTGAAATGCAGAGCTGGTTCGCATATATATGAGCTTGTATGTATCAGGTTTACATTGACTCTCACAGTAAAGAATCCGGGCATAGAGACGACACTGCTGTTTTTCATTTCTAACACCTGGCTGAATCCTGGCTAGACCATGGCTCCATTCACCCCTATTCTTAGGATTAGCTCACAGACACCCTTTAGAGTTTGGCAGTCTTTTTTTTTATGGAAGAAACAGGAAGTGGCCAGGCTCCCAATGTACATCACTGCTGGCTTTGCACTAACATGACATTGCAAATCTCACAAAGGTGTTGGTGGAAATTAGTCTTATCACAGCAGTGGTAATTAGACAAACAAATGCTAGATCGGCTAACAGTATAAAATAAA